GGGGGGGCGTTTAATTAGTCTACAGCTTCATGGTATTTTAGCAACTGCAATGCACCGAGCATTCTTTCGTTCACTAAGTTCATCTCGCTCTCATTTTTGAATGACACTTCAAAAACTGGCTCTCTATGCATGCTTGAAGAGCTGGTACTCTTCGCAAAAACATCAAAGCTGGTCGTAAGCCGGAGTATGACAAAATACGAATGATTCCTCCGAGACCAGATTTCACGGCGCATTGCACTATCCCTTTGCTTCCAGTTGAATATGTTGAGAGAGATTTAAGGAAGCAACGGCTTTATGGAATTTGAGTGCCTGCAGTGCCAGATGATCGTCGCGTCCAATTGTTCGTCACAGCTACCTCGCCCTCATTACGAACGATGATTCAAGAGATGGTACTCTTTATATGCTGTCGTGTCATAAGCTGTTCGTAGATCGTGTCGGAATACTGACATTAGGACCAAAGAAAAAAGCAACAAGCAAAACTGCCACAATCGACAAACTAAACGCCAACAATGCTATGCAGCAGGACGTGCTGTATTCAATATCCAAATTTTACCGAGCATTCCGGAATCATAAGCTCGGACCGACAAGCGAACTTAAAGAATGGTATCCAGAATCTGTAACTTAGTGACTGACGAGGAACGACAGTATGCCAAAGACTTGAACAGATGACAATTATGATTTCTTGAGGTGCCGGACATTCAACCGTAAAAGGCGCCATCATCAAACGTACACTACAATTTCACGACCACTGACCACCACGTGTCACTGATTCTAGCAACGCTGAACTGTTTCATAATCAGTGCTTTTACGGGAGAAAGTTATCTCGTTTATATAACCAATGGCATGGTTCAAATTGCCGCAAAGACATAATGGCAGGATTCCACCACGAATGCGCACAGTCGCTAAGAGAGTCATAAGTGTGAGAAGCAAGGTGGCAGCCCCTAGCCAACGTCAAACAGGGCGGCTCTGCAACACAGTTACGGCATTGAAGGACCGTAATCCGGAAGAATGGAGATGAAGCACGTTAATTCACAGTGAGATGTGGACTTTGACCTTGAATGTGAAATCAATGAAGGATACTGAATCCAACCTCAGTAGTCCCGGCTCCAGAAAAACACCGGCGGAATACAGGTCTCTTATCAAACGTCTATTAGTTTGATGCGATACGCCAATAACTCGACATCAAAGCCTGATATAGCATTCTTGGCCGCAACGTCCGAGCACCTCGGATCTGCAGTCGGACGTGCTCCAAAATTATCTGAATTGCCCCGCTATATAAATATCTGCCTGATATCCGGCTCTCCCGATCCTATATTACTTGGTTT